ACTTATTAGAGAAATAGTTCCTGCTCATTATCCTCAAAAACTTTCTCATAATTTAAACAGTGAAAAGACTTCTCTGAAATTAGTAACCGTCTTTTCATTAATACAAAAGTTATAAATAAAAATGAAACTAAACAGCAAGATAAATAACAACCTACCCAGATAGTTCTTGTCTCTGAAATCAGAATATCAAAAGCTATTTTCTAGCCAGTTAGAAAACACAAGCACTAGGATTGTTCAGAACCTAAAACCAGACTGGATACGTTAACTCTTTAAATTATGTCCCAATTAGTTAAAGACCAAAATAACCCCATAACCTTTCTCTGTTTTTAGGGCAATGTTCATATCTAGTATTCTAATTCCCAAAATACTACTAGCATCCACTCCCGCTATCTAACTATTTTTCAAAAACTCCTAGAATCCAAGAAAGTCATGTCCAAGGTTGGATACTTATACAAAGAGAAAACACCTCTGAGCAGGGTATGTTTTCAACCACCCTTGAAAATTAAAACAGAAAAGTAAATAAATAAGGTAGTCCGCCTGGGTAAACATAGCCACAGCCCTTAGACTGCTAATTTCAGGCTAAGCCCCTATAATTTAACGCAGACATCAATTTATTACCTAGCTGTGTTTGATTTTTATATTCCTTAAATTTTATTGTGCCAGGATTGGGGCCAACAAAAGTTAAAGTAGAGAGAAAAAAAATCTAACAATTGCCTCTAATTTCATCTAGGGGCTCCTTTTATGAGGAACTGCATGCCCAAGTAATGTCACAGTCATAAAATCAAACTAACCCCTCCTACACACACACACACACACACACACACACACACACACACACAACACCACCTCCTATACTACCCTTGATAAAATGCAGAATTAGTTCATTACTGGTCCTAATAGACAGCATTACCTAAGTCGTTTTCTTGTCTCAGGGCTGCCAATCAGCAGATCAAAAGAAAGATAAAAAAAAAAATCTCTTTAAGTGTGATCATATCCACTTTCCCCCATTTCAGTCCCTTTCCTTAGAAATCAATCTGCTCCAAAAAGAAGGGAAGAGAACACCAACTGACCCTCTGAGAGAAGGGTTCCCAAGGCCTGCGATTTGCTGACATGTGGGGAGTTATGATGCTGTGAGAACAGTCCTGATGACAGCAGAACTATCCCACACTGCTCCTAGGGTGTCTAGAACAATCCCAGGGATAATGATAAACTTCATATGTGAAGGGAGAGGGCCCCTCCTGACCCAACAAGCCGCCAGGCACATGAAAGAAACAATATAAACTTGATTTAAATGTGGGATCCCTTCCAGAAGGCTTAATTATCTATTGTATTACCACATTCCCGTTATTCAGCAGTCTCTTCTGTCTCTGACTGAAGTCCAACTACAGCATTTGTTTGGAACAAATTCAGGGAAAACTCCAAACTAACCAGATCATAGAGGACTCAGTTAAATCAGCAACAACAGTTATATAAATAGAAATCTTCTAGGCTGGAAAATATGTGGGTTGTCTGCTAGCTTTCAGGACCCCTGAAGACAATTGGATCCAGTCTATAAAAATCTACACATTAGGTATCCCTAATGTTTGATATCACAGAACACAGCTTGATCAATGTCTAACTAGTTGTTTTTATTTGGAGACATCTCCTGAGTTACAAAATTTCTCATTTTGGAATGTTCATAAATCAGTATTTACATCCTGACCTTAGTTGCTTATTTCTTTTGGGGGGAAGTCAGAAGATCAAGTATTCCTCAAGGTGTCAAAGTATTAGGGACAAAGAGTAAAATATCCTGACATTTCAAATGAATGGTTGTACCTAAATAAACATCATCATTTCAGTTTTTTTAATTAGAAAATTTTGGTTTAAAATTTTGGTTTTAAAAAAAAAAAAGTTGGTGTTTGACTCAAGGAAAGTGTAACCACTATTGGACAGGATGGTATTTTCACCTTTTAAGGGGCTGCCTGACCCAAGCTATTCACAGCTAATAATTCAAAGACAAAAATCTCCTCATCAGCCATGGATGCATACAAGTGGCTAAAATAAGCAGGACAACCCCAACTTCATGAATGTGTGTGACTGTTGCATTGTACTTAGACATGTGGAAACAGCATTTGAACTTCATGACTTTTGAAGAAAAAGTACTGCCTGAACATTCCCTCATGAAATGTTCCACAATTTACCTTCTCTGCATCTCAATTTTTAAGGGACCACAACTCCACCAAAAAAAAGCAAGAAAGCAAAGTCATGTTTACTAATGTAATAGAAAGTGTTCTCTAATTCTTTCAGTACTACTCTCCAAATAAGAGTTCTATCCTGAGTGATAAATATCTGGTCATTCCAAACAGTTTCTGATCAATATCAAGTCCTGCACTTCAGGTGTGCAAGTTTTCAAGGAATTCTTGATGGTAAGATTACAGATGGAAAGTTTTAGGCTATAAGCCTCCTGAAGGCAGGCTGGGAGATTCTTCTGGCCATTTTTCCCTTACTTTGTCCAGTGTCTTGAATAAAGAAATTGTCCTTAAGCCTACTTTTTTAAATCATCAGTTCACTTTCTCCTACCATAAGTATTCTACAGAGTAATAGCATCAAGAGTTTCAGATAAATATACATATGTATATATGACATATATATATATATGTATGCTTTGTTCTAAGAGTATGTTTGAAATGTGGAACAGAGGATTTTGGGGGGGAAAAAAGAATACATGAATCTAAAACGCAACCCTTGAGCTGACCAATACTGAGAACACGCTAGAAACTAAAGAGCACAGCATACTGATTGTAAATATCTGTGTTTCAATAGATATTTTTAAATTAAAAACCTCCATGGTTCTACCAACACCTCTCTGAACAATACATACAGTTCACACACACCCCCTCCTCTGCAAAATCTCCTTGGTTCTGGCCAACAGCTGGCAAGTTGATCCCTGCAATTTTCTCTTTGCAGAAATAGCTTTGTGAGGGGAGAACTGACCCTCACCAGCTAATAAGCCCAAACCCCACCAAACCTGGAGGGCTGAAATGGAAGGCACATTGTGGTGTTAAGTACTTTACAACAACTGTTTCTTCTCCTCTTGACACAGCCTGACTTCCTTAAAGAAGATTTGACTGGCCAGACAGCTGTGTTGACCCTTAAGCCTTCTTTGATTCCTGATTTTTTTTTTTTAACAAACAGAATAGAAATTCACAACCCAAATCCTCTCTTAAGCTCCAATACTTTTGAAATGTGCTAGTGTTGTGGCTGAAGGATGTGGACATTTCAGTAATCTATAAACAGAAAGATAAAGATTGGATCCATACAATACCAAAATCAAGAAAGAGAGCAGGGGGAGGGGAGGGCGAGGACAAGCAATCAACCAGACCATTTAACTCAAGGTAATACTTAAAATTGTGTAGACCAAATCTGCTTAATTTCCTAAAAATTGTTACTTTTTACTCAGACATTTGTGGCCATAAACAAAAACCCAGAACAGAGACAAACGTGTTTCCAAATGTTAATCATAAGGGTCATTTCCTGCAGTGGTCAGGATGTTCATTTTTTGGTATAATTCTGTATTGGTCAACTCATCTAAAACTGAGTATCCATAAGGTTGTGAAAATGTATTTTTTAAAACAACAAATATGTGTCCTGTTCTCTCTAAGATAAGGAAACATGGACTAGCAGAGAGTGTGTGTGTGTGTGTGTGTGTGTGTGTGTGTGTGTGTGTGTGTGTGTGTGTGTGTGTGTGTGTGTGTGTGTGTGTGTGTGTGTGTGTGTGTGTTTACTAAGTCTAATCATTTGTCAGACAACATGACCACCAAGATATCGCTGGCATTTCTTAGTGTGGTGCTTAGTCCTCTTCAGTACGTCCCCTTTCATTTTGTTTTTAAAAACATCATAGAAACTACATTTTTAGGCACATCAAACCCTTTTTGGATTAGCTTCAAATAATGCTGTCCACTTTATTCACCAATGACCAATGCAGAATTCTCAGATGCATACACCCACACAGTCAATATAAATACCAGTTTTAATGTACAGAGACAGAGCACTCTTTTGTACCATTTTTCTCTCCCCAAACCCTCCACAGTACTGTGAAGCTAATGCTCCTAAGTTAGCCACTTTCCTGAGGGAAAGCAATTGATTCTCCTTACTTCCCTGAACTCCTCCAGGTCTGCCCAGCCCAGCAAAAATAAGGAAAACTCACATTCACTTGGGAATTACAGAAATCTAGCTTCAAAATAAACCAGTCGCTTAAATACTTGCCGCCCAACTCCCAGAAAACAGAAGATTCGGGCCGACAGGAGGAGAATCGAACCTGCTGTGTAGCAGAAAGCATATTCAAGACTAGACTTAAGTGAGGATATGCTTTAGGAAAGTCAGGCCCCAATTTCTGGCCCCCTAACTCCTTCACTGGAGGGCTTATCAAAAGCCAAGCATACTGGAAGAGAAAAGGCCAACTTGTGTGCCAACTTGGAGCAGCAGCAGTTCCATTTCCAAGCCCAATCTGTCGCCAGTGTACAAACCCAAGCAGGAAACATAAACCGTGGCTCCATCCAACCTCATAGCCCAGGCACACGCACGAGAAAGGCTCAACACACCTGGGTAAAATTGTATGGGAACCAAAAAAAGCCACATCGGTCACTGACAGCCCAGTGGTCGCTGACAGCCCAGAGGACAGGCACCAAGCTCGGAGGACGTCACAGGCCCACAGAGAGTGGTCCCTGGGAATGGCCAGGTTTAGGGAAGGGGGCTGGGAAGACTAAAACTGGGAACAAAATCAAGAAAGAAATAATTTCCCGCGCGCTTCTGGTTTGGTATTGCGCACAGGCGCAGAAGCCGACCGCCTGGGGAAAGTGCGGAAGACCCACCCCCGGGTGAACCAGAATCTGTGGGCTTCCGGGTGGGTACCTTCTACGCCTTCCAGAAGAGGATGCGGATGAAGGAAGAAAAGTCCCCCGAGCACACCGAGGCCAGTGCGCGCGGGGGCAAGGGAGCGCACCAGCAGCGCGGCCACTTACTTCTCGTAGTCATACTTGCAGTAGAGCTTTTTGTCCCGGTAGAAGCAGGTGGTCTCCAGGGGCTCCTTGCAGGAAGCACACTGCACACACTGTTCGTGCCAGAAGCTGTCGTTGAGCCGAAGTAGGAACCGGTCGGAGATGACCCGCTGACAGCCCTCGCAGACAGACTTTGCGCTCACTGTTCTGCCTGCAGCCGCAACAGACAGACGCCAGTGAGCCGCTGGCGCAGGTCAACCCTGTCAAACCCGCTTGCGATCGCTCCACACCCATCGATTTCCAGGGGACCCTCCACCCCAGGAAGAAGCACCCTGACACCAGCCATCATCAGCCCTGAGGGGGGGAGGGGGAATCAAGCCAAGTGACAGAAATAAGTGGTGACGTTTTCTCATAAACAGGGACTGTATATGGAAATTTAAATTCTAGAGGAGGAGGCAGAAATCTTCGGGTGGCATTTAGTTATCAAATATAGTCAAGTAGGAGCGCAAGCGGATTTACATTCTGTAAAATTAAGGTTGTAAATAAAAGGGTGTTTCTGAGTTTATTACGTTCCAATTAAGCAGCAAAACGCTGTTTAAAACGAATGATAAAACGTTTAAAAACAGAACGAGCAAAAACCAGGTCTGCTTTTTTCTTTGTTAAAACACAATCATACTGTTTTGTTTTCATTTTTTTAAGAGGGAAACTTGAAATTTTCTCTTTTCCTAAAAAGTCCCATGGGTAAAGTCTCACCCTGGGCAAACGTAGTATTGGTTAAACCAATGAACCCATACTATCTTTTGGCTTGCGTGCAAATCGCAGATGGGCTTTTCATAATTAAGAAGTGTCAAAACAGACGGAATTTAAAATCGCAGCGCCAAGGAGACAGTGGGCACTGAGTACTCAATGCTGAGGCCTGGGTACTCGACGCGCGCCCAGGAGCGGTGCGCGGAGAAAGATCTCCCCCAACTACTCAACAACATCGGGGAACCCGCTCCATCATACCCTTGGGCCTTTATGTATTTTTTTTTTTTTGCCCCTTTAGTTTGCAGACCTAAGCGTCCATTTTTTTTCATGGATGACGCCTGGTTGCCTTTGTTGGCACATTTCATAACTATTTAAAGAAGTCCCGTTCCCACGATCACACGCTTGAGCGCGGTGTCCCAAAGGACTGGCCCTCTTCCGTGTCCCTGCGATACTCAGTTTCCCCTGAGTCGCTTTAGGAAAGAGGCTGGAAGGGCTGGGTAAAGCAGCGAGATGGTTCTCAATTTTTAAAGTTCTGTTTGTTTTCTGGGTTGATCGGCATCCCAGGCCATACCTCCAGGCGTTTGAGCGGATGTAGGCCGGGCCCCACACAGGGCAAAACGCTACGCCAGCCGTGTAGACTTCAGTCCGAACCCGCTATCAGCCTGCGCAGTGCGGGCTCTGGCCCGCCTACTCTTCGGAAGCTGGACAGGGGTGGGGGTGGGGGTGTCTGGACACTCTAGGAACCGAGGCTGAAAAGCTGAGCCCAGAGTGCGTGATTTCGTTTGGGGGATGGGGGGTGGGAATTTTTCTCCAGTCCAAGCGTCCCATCCCCTGCCTTCAATCCGCTGTAGCGGTTTCAAAGAAGTAAAGGGGAGAGGGGCTTAGATGACAAAACGAAAAGTTTCTCAAAGAAAGAAAAAAAGAGAGAAAGGAAGAAAGAAAGAAAAGAAAGAAAGAAGCACACCTTTTATTCAAATCTGAAAAGGACTAAGAGTAAAGTGGGTAAGATCTCTAACAAGAATGTCTACACGGATTTTCAGAAAGACCTGTATTCTTGGGGTCTGTGGACCCGCCGTTGCTCCGCTTGGGCGAGAAGGGCCTGGGGTGGAAAGGACCCGCGGAACCTAGGATCCGGCTTCAGTTAATTAAAGCCTGGGCGAGTGCCCCGCAGGGATGCCTAATCCCCGCGTTGCGCTGCCCACCCGCCCGGAAAAAAAAAGTCCCTCGGCCTTGCCCAAGACTGGAAAGGGGGTTAGAGTTGGTGGGGGCAAGAAACCGCCTCGAACTTGGGTGCTCCAGGCCTCGGGTACTTGCTCTGAGGCCGCAGAGAAACGGGTGGCATTTATGAGCCGTCGATCAGCTCCGTGATTAAAAAATCCAGCCCTGGGTAGTTTTTAATCACTTGCCACTCAAGCGCCGGCGAACACGCTTGCCCGCCCCTCGCGGCTTTAGGGAATTCGATGCCCGGCTTGTGAAGCCTGAGGGAGGTTTACTGGTTTTGTTTAGACGGGGACGACTCAAGAGGACTGACGGACATCGACAGACTAGGAGTGCGGTGCACGGGGCGCGGGATGCTAGCTCCCGAGGTCGCTGTCAGGGTTTCCAGAGCCGCCTGGGCCTGGGTGCGCCCCAGGGCACAGGGCCTCATCACTCACCCAGCAATGAGGAGAAGGAGGCTGAGGTTTCGATGGCGCTTTGGAAGTTCTCCTCCATCTTCAGGCCGTCCAGCATGTTCGGACCGCGCCAGGAGGACCTGTAGAGGAGAGGGAAGGATGTGACTGACTTCCGTGCCCGAAGGGACTCGGCGCTCTCGGGGGACCGCACTCCTGGGAAAGGACGAAGGGAGTGTCCAGGGTGACCCGAATGAACCGGGAGGATCGAGTCCCGCCTAGAGAAACACGGGGCGGGAGGGGAGAGACGAGTCGCACAGCGCACTGCTCTGACTGATCTGATTTCACTTGAAGTCAACGCGTTAAGTACCTAGGCCTCCCTCCTCCCCCCACCCCCTCGGTGTTTCTCCTGCCCCCCACCCCCACCCCTACCCTGCCGGTCCGCAGGTTTCCCATCCTGAGATCGACTCCGCCCAACTTGTAGTAATGTGGGCCCTGGGGATGTCTCTTCTGGGACTCAGCTACTGGGTACGACAGCAATAAAAACAATTTTTAAAACAAGAGGGGGTGCTCTTCCCCGCCTGTCTGGGCCCAAGCACACCAGGACATACCCCGAGGTCCGGGTCACCCCGTGTCGCGGCCCTCACCTGCCTGGGCTGGGAGAGAGGCAGCGTAATGAAGCGGAGGGACGTCCCGCCCGCTTCCGTCGTGCTGGCGCGCGCGCTGCTGGGGGGCGCGCGGGAGTGGGCGTGCGGGGCGCGCGGGGAGGTCCTCGCGCGGGTCGGCCAGGGCCGGGAATGTCTGCAGGAGCAAAGAAGTCGCCTCGGGGAGGAGCCGCGACTGGCCCGGCTCACTCTTGGATGCATTTCAAATCAACTTTCAAAAAACACGCCCGCCCGAGCCGGAGCTTAGGAGCCCGCAGCCTTCCTTACCTGATGGGCGAGCCAGCTCCCCGGCTCCGGAGCAGAGGGAAGTTGCGGGCTGCCGCGGGAAGCTCCGGCGGAGGAAGGCGTCACCCCCGCGGCTGCAAACCCCAGCAGAAGCCCCGATTCTGGCGCGTTGGGGAGAGAGCAGGAGTGAACGCCGGCCCCCGGTTCCACTCCTCAGCGCGCAGGGGCCGGGCCGGGACGTGGCCTGCTCGGGACGTCCGGCCAGCCCGCTTTGCTGTGCGGGGAGAAGAGAAGGCCGGATGCAACTCCGAGGCTGGCAGTTCGGGAAGACAGAGGCCTGGGGTCCTGGGTGCAAGTCGGCTCTGCTTCTCCGAGGCGGATCCCGCGGTTTCTGACAGGGGCCGCAGGGCTGCGTGCGCCGCAGAGCGAAGGGGGTGGGGTGCGCAGGGCGGGGGACTGGGAGCGCGTCCCGTGGCGGGGCCGAGGTGCTGGGTTTCCCAGTGTGGCTGCTCAGCCCACCTCGTGGCCGCCGCCTGGTGCGCCCCTCTGCTGCTGTGACCTCCGGGGCACACGAACTTTCCTCCCGGCCGAGTGGAGCTGGTACCTTGGGGAGCCGCGCCTGAGAGTTCGCGGAGATCTGCGCGCCCGCCGCCTGGACCGCGCGCCGCGGGGCTGGCTGCAAACGGGGTCGCTCTCTACTCCCGACTGCAAGCGGTCACTCCGCGCCAGTCTTCACCTGGGCAGCGTCGGTAATTATGCGCATCCCACCTCCCCACCCCAAATCCCCGCAGCTCTAATGGCTCAGACCTTTCCTCATCACTCAAGGGTTCCTGCAACGTCCCAACTTCCTTTAGGTTCCAAAACCTGTTCACCGTTTTGCACCGAACGTAGCCAGTTCACTGATGGGATGTGCGGCTCTACCAAGACCCACGGCCGCATCTTGAATCAGACTCTCCGGAGAGACTAGGTAGGATCCCATCCCTAGACCGTAAACTGACAATAGCAATGAGGAGAAATTTAGCTAAGGGGAAGAAGTTGGGGGTGGGGGGGAAGGGCAGGGACCGGAGAGAAGAGTGAAATGCTAACTCCCAGTACTCTCCTAACTTGAGCTGATAATGCCAGCTTCTGTCTCTCCAGGAGCAGGAACCGGGTTCACAGAACTCTGAATTCCAAGAAGTGCCTGACCCCAGGTGGTTCGATAAATCGATCATAGCACTGACTAACGTTGATTAGATACTTACTCTGTGCCAGCTTTGGTTATACAAGTTAACTCATTCAATCTTTACAATTCTTGGCTCCTTATTACTAGTGAAGGAAACAGGCTGCGTATCATGCTGGACATCTGAATACTCTAAGAAGGCCCAATTCAATGGGATTCCCTGGGACCTTCTCGGTAACTACACTGAACTCTGAACATTGAGTCGGAACTGGCAGGCCTGCTGGCCAGGTGAATCCAGGCCGAGGAGATTCCCTGAAGCAAGAGTTTTCCATTACTTTTTCTAAGGACAGGACCACGTCCGAATTTTAAAGAAAAAACACTGGCAGCAAATTGCTCCAGTGTGCTTTGGGAGCAATGACTCCCTCCTACCATTATAAGTGCTTTCCACCAATAGGCACAAACACAGAGCACAACTTGAGAAAAGTAAGGGTAGAAGAGCATCGTTTAATACCGTAGATTTGAATGCTGCTTTATTCTTTTCAGGATAGTTTCACATGTGTGATTTTGCTTGATCTTTACAACAAACCTGTGAGGCAGGCAGAGCAAATAGTTTTATCCATTGTTCCAGATGAATCTGTGAGGGGCAGGACATGTGGGAGATTTTTCTGATGTTACTCAGGTGCTAGTGGCATATCTCCCAAGGCCTGGCCTTTGTCCTCTCTGCCAACCCCCAGATAGACAGGATGGGGAAAAAAATAGAAGTTTGACAGCGAGCAAAAGAATGAGCAGAGAAAATCCAACCATAAGGAATACTTTTAAGTGGCCAACAGACTTTTAGTTTCACTAAAAGCCTTGAACATAAGAAATATATTTACCTAGCAGATGTGTGTGTGTATACTTCAAAAATTAATAGAGTCTCATTTGATCTGAGTGATCTGAGACCAGACTCTTCCCAACAGTTTTTGCATGTGGAAGGCAGCTTGATTAATATAGATTACACAAGTTTGTGTTGGGACTGTCTTCTCCCATCAGGCTTGGGAACTTAAGGATAAGGACTATGACAAGCCCTACCATCTTAGTGCAGAATTAGGCACAGAGAAGTGATTGGCAGTAGAATTCATTTGCCCAAGGGTGAGTGGACCTCTCAGGAGAGATAGGAAGTGCTGAAGGACTATGCCCTGTTCCCAGGAATCAAAACCTCCTGTTTATCCAGGCACCATCCATGGTGGCTCAAACCGGTAACCTAGCTATTCAGAAGTCTGAGATCTGAGAATTGAGGTTCAAAGCCAGCTGGGGCAAGAAAGTCCATCAGACACTTATCTCCTATTAACCACCAAAAAGGCCAAAGTGGAAGTGTGGCTCAAAAGGTAGACTTTCTAGTTTTGAGCACAAAAGCTCAGGGACAGTAACTAGGCCCTGAGTTCAAGCCCCAGGACCAGCACACACACACACACACACACACACACACACCTTCCTCTTTGGAGTAAAAGGGCTGTTGTGCTATTCAGTCTGCAAGGTCCCTTGAGTCTAAGCATTGTGAAAATCAACATGCCAGTGGGTCTAATAGCACCAGCAGATCCTTGGAGTATGCTGACCAGCAGCTGGCTAGGTATAATCTTCACTGATGGATCTAAGTGTTGTATGTTGACCAATAAAGGTACAACATCTTGATTGAACATTTGGCTTCTCCCTATGAATTGGGAATCATGTATCTCACTCCTACCCCAGGACTGCATCAATTCAATTGTAGCTACCTCACAGACTTGGATGGATGGTAGATGGACAGGGAGAACACACCTTCTGACTTCCCATTTTAAGTTCCAATAGTGATATTTGCCTTTTTAATGAGAGAACAAGATGCCACAGAGCCACTATCAGAAGCCTTTATGAGAGATAGGCTATATTCACCTTTAAAAATATTTTCTGATGGAGGGAGGGAAAGTGGGAGAAAAATGAAGGAATGGGTACCAAGTTTGACAAAAACGTACTTACTACCTTATGTAACGGTAACCTGTTTGTACATTACCTTGACAGTAAAAATAAAAAATACTTTCTGAGAAATTGTGGGAGGTAGACAGGCTTCAGAAAGGACACAAAAAAATTATATTTTCAGAGTTGGAGGTAATGGGTAAGTTCATCTGGTCCAATGGTTTGGTTTTGTGGTGGGTCACAATTTGTTTACATAGACCTGCCCTCAAGGCAGGCCTGGATTCATCTGGGGCTAGTGATTCAGAAAGTGAAAACCTGCTCCCAAACACCTTCAGATGAAGGCAGAGCTGCCCTCACTGTCTTGTCCTCTTTCTAGCTAAGCCGAGTCTCATAGAAAAACCTCATGAGTCCTTTTCTGTACTACAGAGTACTAGTAAGGCATATCTTTGCCACATTGTATCATCATAAAGTTGGAGTTACTGTACAATTGGTGTTTGGATCCTAATGTGAAACCTACAATTTTCCCTGCTAAGGCATGGGCAGCATCTTAAACACAGGGAATATTGGCACTTCAGGCAGATTCCAAGAGATCCGGGGATTCTGTCTTGGCCTAGCAATGTGCCCTTAGGAAGAAATATAGGTCTGTGTTAGGGTTGGTTTTTTTGGGGGGAGGGGGGCAGGGAGGCAGCTGTTGCTATGACAAAATACGTGAGGAAAAACAATAGAAAAAGCGAAAGGTTTGTGTTGGCTCACAGTTGCAAAGGCTTCCATATATGGTTGCTGACCCTTACTATTTCTAGGCCTATGGTAAGACAGTATATCATACCATGATATACTGAGCAAAGCTGCTCACCTCATGGTAACAGAAGGGAGCCTAGAGAAGGATAGGAGAAGGAGGAAGAGGAGGAGAGGATGCTTCTACATCAGGCCTTAGTGACCTACTTCCTCTAATTAGATCATGCTTCTAAATTCCCATTAAGCTGTGCCCATTCATTAACTGTCAATCCACTGATGAGATTTAACTCTGGTGGTCTGAGCACTGTGGTCTGAGCAACTGAGCAATCAACACCTGAGCCTCTGGGAGACATTCTAAATCCCACCCTTTCCAGGGTGATCTGGAAGCAGCTCTCCCTGGAGACAAGG